CCTCTTTCATGTATAAGAAACGTGTTTGTATCTAACTGTATCACACCAAAGCAGACTTATCTATAAAACCTAATATTGTTATAAAATGTGGGTCGACTTTAATGCTAGAATGTGGGGTTAGATTTCCTGCAGTAAACACAGCAGATAGCCTAATGTGGCTTCACACAAAAAAAACAAAGACCTCTATACAAGTCCTGGTATTGTTGTGTAAAAAATAGAAAACCTTTTATAAAACCTGACTTTGTAATAATTCTAATATAAAAGTAGATTTGATTCTAATAAATCTCCCTTGGCTAGCATAAATATATTTTTGGGGGGGAGATGCCTCCGTTATAAAACAAAATAAGTTAGTAAGCCTTTTTTTATCCATGAGTAGTTATAATTTCTAAAAAGTTTGAACTAGTCATTAGTCAGCCATGAGAAAGTCACAATTATTAAGTCAATACGTCGCTTCACCCTTTTATTGCGCTAGTCTCATGTAGGCTTAAGTTTTGATTACTAAGTAACTTTCTAAGTCAGTTATTTTTTGTTTTTTCGTTCAACGTGAATAAATATCTTTGGAGAATTTTGGTTCAAATTTCGGTCGATTTTAAGAAGTTATTGTAAAAAGGGTGAAACCATTGTTCGTGGATTTGTACGTAAGTCTTTATCAGAAAAGTTATGTTCAAATTTTTCATTGAAAAACAAAATCAGGGACTTACCACTGTTTTATCTCCTTTTCGGAAACTAGAAAAGATATGAAAACGTCATTAGGTTCTGGATAATCCATTCACAGGGAAAAATTTTGTGACTGTAAAATCAATTTACAACTTGGATAAATTAATATAAATTAAAAGTTAAAAATTTGAAATATTTCTTTAGTTAAAAGTTCCCTTCTAGCTCCACATTGGTTCCCAACCTGTTTTACTTTTGAAAAACACTAAAAAAAGCAATAAACCCTCAATTTTAAAATTGACAGACTAGGTGAGTTACCAACATGTTACACTAACAAGCACTCAACATTCGTGTATTCTGACTTACTCTTGAATTATTATTTTTTTTATCTATTTTAAAATATAAACCACTCTTAAGTTTTAGTTAACAAATTATATGCGTCAGGAGTATACCCCTTACTGAAAGGTCTGACTGAGGGGAGCAGAATAAAAAGGTTGTGAACCACGTGTCTACAATAGTACGCTGAGAGTCTAGAGATCATTTTATGCCAGACCAAGTTAAAGTTTAGAGAGCGAATAAAAACTTCCTGCAAGTTACTTCGAAGATTTAATACTATATATATGTGATGGAAGTAGAAAAGCGTTAGCAACGTTACATCATATGAAAGGTGTTTAAACGTTGTATAATAAGTTGTCAGAAGAACAATTCTCTCAAAACATCATTTGATTACTTTAGCGGTATCAGCACTCTGAAGAAAAACCTACTAAAGGAAGAGAACAATCAAACAAAAAATTTGAACCTTTAAAATTCCTTCTGTCTTTAGGAATTTACACGTTGCGGAAACTGGAAGATATTTAGAATTAATATTAAAATAATTTCGAAATGTAGTCTTACTAATGAAGACCAATAATTCGGTCATAGTTTACTGTCCACTTAACTGGAAAAACTGTAAGGTCAAGATTTAACTAAAAGCCTGTCAATCCTTTTCTCCGACCATTCAGATCTCCAATTAAACTTTTCAAACAATAATCATCCATTACTCAACAAAACCTCTGTTTTCCAAAATAGCTCCAACAGTTCTTGTCAAAAGTCACAACTCTACTCAAATTAAATTACAATCTTCTGTGGTCTTTAAATTTACCTTTTACATTTAAACCTCTTTAGCTGTCCAGACCAACAAGCCCAAATTATCATCCAAACCGATCTAATAGCAATCCAAACTTTTTTACTCCTTTCTTCCCTGTAACTGCTACACAGACAGTAACTTTTTCAATATACCAACAAACCCAAATTATCATACAAACCGATCTAATAGCAATCCAAACTTTTTCCTCCTTTCTTCCCTGTTACTGCTACACAGACGGTAACTTTTCCAATATACCAACAAACCCAAGTTATCATCCCATGCACTAAAGCGATACAAACTTTTCTTCCTCATTTCTTATTTGTAATGTGTATAACAATATAATAAACGTGTAGATTATTATTTGTAATGTGTATAATAATATAATAAACTTGTAGATTCTTATTTGTAATGTGTATAACAATATAGTAAACTTGTAGATTCTTATTTGTAATGTGTATAATAATATAATAAACTTGTAGATTCTTATTTGTAATGTGTATAACAATATAATAAACTTGTAGATTCTTATTTGTAATGTGTATAACAATATAATAAACTTGTAGATTCTTATTTGTAATGTGTTTCTGTGAAGAAAGAATTTCACACGATGTTTGTTATAATTTCGAGCTCAAGCCTTAGCATTCTTATCAAAGAATATAGAACGCAACATGCCGTGTTTTTAACCTGGTTTTCAAGTAAACGTGGAGTTTTTGAGTGGATTCTGTCGTTTCTCACCAGGGGTTTCCATTTTGAACATTACCTCAATCGTAGCTTGTTTTACCGCCTGAGATCCACAACTTGTACACAAAACTGTTCCTTGGAAGGGCGGGTGTTTCACGCAGCGAATGAATAAATGCTCCCCATGGGTCTATCACGTGCTAAAACGTTTCCATATCCAACAGAGGTAAAGAGTAAAACACGTGCCACTTGTAGAACTTTCAATAACACAACATGATATATGTATGTATAATACAAGACTTTTGACCGGTTTCAGGACCTGTAAGACTCTTGGCCGGTTTCAGGACCTGTAAGACCCTTGACCGGTTTCAGGGCTTGTAAGATATTATTCAGCATTCTGATAACTTATGTAGTAGAAACTAAATAAAAGCTGTTAAAAGGAAAACATATAAAAAATAAAGACCGATACACCATACACACACTGACCTGAAGACGAAAGGCGAAAGACTTTCGAAACGTCGTCCTCTACACTTGTATTTCTACAACAGTCCATTCAACTAAGTTTCATTAAAAAGTGTAAAATCTTAGCAGTTTCATTCTTTAAAGTTTGATACATTCATCCGTGTGAATAGGAAGGAAAATCAAATTGGTATATAACCTCTATATATATTCAGATTTGGATGTGTAAATATATATATAGAAATACACTCAAATCAAAATAAATATGGAAGGACAGCTGGTAAGATTACAAAAGTACCAGTACAAGCATGGGTAAGATTATAAGTGTACGAGTACAAGCATGAGTAAGATTATAAGTGTACGAGTACAAGCATGGGTAAGAATACAAAAGTACGAATACAAACAGGCCCGGCATGGCCAGGTGGTTAGAGCGCTCGACTCGCAATCTGCGGGTCGCGGGTTCGAATCCCCGTAACACCAAAAAGGCTCGACCTTTTAGCCGTGGGGGCTTTCACCAACGAATAGTGGGATTGACCGTCACATTATAACGAGTAGTCCAAGAATTGGCGGTGGGTGGTGATGACTAGCTGCCTTCCCTCTAGTCTTACACTGCTAAATTAGGGACGGCTAGCGCAGATAGCCCTCGTGTAGCTTTGCGCGAAATTCAAAAACAAACAAACACAAACATGGGCAAGATTACAAATGTACGAGGAGAACGCGTTTAAGCGCGAACATAAGGAACTACAAGCAATCTGGCAAGTTGGCTGAAATGAAGGAAGTAGATATCACAGAAACAAAGGAGTTCTAGCAGGCTCGTGTCATCTTGCAAGTGATATGGAATACATGTAAGTGCATTTATGGAAGCCACCTTAGCTGTTATCTGATATGTCAAGCAAGAGATGGAACTCTTATCTTTACCACGAAGCTTACTCAGCGGTTCGGGAGACATAAAATACTCCAAATCACAAACCTCCCTTTAATAGCTACCAATACGTGTCATACCACGCTACAGATAACGTTAGTGTGTTAACAACTGGTTATATTCCGTTCCAAAACATGTTTCTTCGGGAGAAAAAAAAAAATGTCACCTTTCATTGTTTTTATACATGTGATTGATTTTGTAAACATGATGTTCCTCGTTATCAAGTTTCTATATGTTTGTTTTAGTCTTTTCCAACGTCCTTTATATATACATTAAATACTGATACCACTTTCCATACGTTTCTTAACCCTCATCCAGACACTAGACTTATCCACATGTTCTTAAATTAAGTACCTGATCCTGTCACTAGACTTATCCACATGTTCTTAAATTAAGTACCTGATCCAGACACTAGACTTATCCACATGTTCTTAAATTAAATACCTGATCCTGTCACTAGACTTATCCACATGTTCTTAAATTAAGTACCTGATCCTGACACTAGACTTATCCACATGTTCTTAAATTAAGTACCTGATCCAGACACTAGACTTATCCACATGTTCTTAAATTAAGTACCTGATCCAGACACTAGACTTATCCACATGTTCTTAAATTAAGTACCTGATCCAGACAATAGACTTATCCACATGTTCTTAAATTAAATACCTGATCCAGACAATAGACTTATCCACATGTTCTTAAATTAAGTACCTGATCCAGACACTAGACTTATCCACATGTTCTTAAATTAAATACCTGATCCAGACACTAGACTTATCCACATGTTCTTAAATAAAGTACCTGATCCTGACACTAGACTTAAATAAAAACCTTATCAAATCACTATAACTACCCATGTGCTATTGAAATAAGAACCTTATCAAGTCACTATAACTACCCACGTGCTATTGAAATAAGAACCTTATCAAGTCACTATAATACCCACGTGCTATTGAAATAAGAACCTTATCAACTCACTATAACTACCCACGTGCTATTGAAATAAGAACCTTATCAAGTCACTATAACTACCCACGTGGCTATTGAAATAAGAACCTTATCAAGTCACTATAACTACCCACGTGCTATTGAAATAAGAACCTTATCAAGTCGCTATAACTACCCACGTGCTATTGAAATAAGAACCTTATCAACTCACTAAAATGACCCACGTGCTATTGAAATAAGAACCTTATCAACTCACTAAAATGACCCACGTGCTATTGAAATAAGAACCTTATCAACTCACTAAACTTATCCACGTGCTATTGAAATAAGAACCTTATCAAGTCGCTATAACTACCCACGTGCTATTGAAATAAGAACCTTATCAAGTCGCTATAACTACCCACGTGCTATTGAAATAAGAACCTTATCGACTCACTAAACTTATCCACGTAGTATTAAAGTAAACTGAAGGTTTTATAAGATACAGATCTTACTAGACATTAATTTTTTTATTTGTTGAATTTCGCACAAAGTTTCTCCAGGGCTATTAGCGTTAGCCGTCCCTAATTTAGAAGTGATAGACTAGAGGAAAGGCAGCTACTCAAAACCACCCATCGGGCTACTCTAATCGAAGAGTGAGACTTACCGTTACGTTATAAAGCTTCCACGGCTGAAAAGTCGAGCATGTTCAGTGATGGGATTCGAACCCGTGACTTTCAGATTACAAGCCAATTGCCTTAACCACGAGGTCTTGCCAGATCTCAGCACTTAAGAAGCATAATATACGAATAAGATTATAAAATATTAATTTCTTATATTTATGTTTGCGTTTATTAGAATACCGTTACTCAAGACGTTGTTTTAGACACCAGTCTTTTGTTTATCAATAACGAACATATCTGAGCTAAAACATAAACAAATTTTGTCTTTTCATAGACTCGTGCTTGATATTAGAAATTTCATCCATCAGATTTTCCAAACCAATATAGTGAAACCTTAGTACAGGTTAGCATGGATGTTATCATCAGACCAACAGAAGACGTTTCAGTGTCTCTGCTGGAATGTAGTTTGATCATTTTTTTATTCTTTTTGAGACATCATCCATGTCGCCACGACTCATCACAATACAACAGATATCTGAACGTTATTTCTATTTCAATAATTGATAGCACAATAATCACCTAGCAACACGGAGAAACAGGTGAGCATTTCAGATCATCATCCCCTCAGTAAAGGGAGTGTTTCTACAATCATTATTATTTTTTATGTTAAGAAAGCCTCTGGTTGTTACAGGTAGAACGTCATAACCCCAATACTTCATTACTCTAGGTTGTCTTACAGATTAAAGCATTTATTTACACACAAACACTGCCCTCGAGAATAGACATAACAATACAATTACTCGATAAACTTACTGACAACAAAGATCACGTGACTAAGACTCTATGAAGCTGTAATATTCTAGTTTCTGTGAAAATATTTGAAAAGTTGATTTTCTGCCGTACCTGTCAGAGTACGCTTTACACCTTGTATCTTCTAAAGAGACTTTATAGGGTTTTTTTTTTACGAAATTTGTGTGGGTAACTGACATTGTAGCGTATATGTCCAACGTGTTTATGATCACTGGCTTAAAATAAATTTTTGTTTATGTATTTTTAACACATGGGAGAGAGCGAGAATGTTTTCAAATATTCTCAAGTGAGTGGGGAAAATCTTAAAGATTTTCTTACTACTAACTTGTTCACGTAAAATCTGTTAGTCTCTAAAGATATTCTTACTACTAACTTGTTCACGTAAAAATCTGTTAGTCTCTAAAGATATTCTTACTACTAACTTGTTCACGTAAAATCTGTTAGTCTCTAAAGATATTCTTACTACTAACTTGTTCACGTAAAAATCTGTTAGTCTCTAACTAGTGTTAAAGGTTTTGATACTGTACAACATTTTCAAACTGACAATCATCCAACTACGTTGTAATGTAATTTGTTTTACTTTTTCGCGAACCTTCTCTTGCCTCTCAAGATAAATTCTGCTTCCCCCTGGGGAGTTCCTCCAGTTTGAGAACCGTTGTTTTATATAAGGCAAATGCGTTACAGTTATGATTAGAAACCACTATGCACAACAGACAATTAGCTTTGTTTGACATCGGTATTTACAATTAGCTTTGTTTGGTATTATAACTGATTTCCTAAGTTTTTCCCAATGCTCCGACTTACCGTAAAATCTTCCAAAACACATTACTGTCCAATTAATCACATTTACCACATCGATACCTTCTACAGAAACACATGTCTTAAAAACGTTTTATAGATGTAAGTGAATACGGGGAGTGTAATTAATGTAAGGTCGAATATAGAGGTCAGAAATAAACACTTTGTACCAATCTTCGGTGACGTCATACTTCCATGGTGACATCATGTTTCAGTAGAGAAGGTTTAATGTTAAGTTCCAAACGTAACTCTTTATGTTCACTGTTCAGTTGCAGTTGTAACATAAGATTTTGTGAAGATACTAATGACAATCAGTTTCACGAAGATGTTCACATTTCTGGTTATAGCCAAGTAATATTTGTATCAGCTGATAATTCAGGTTATAATCTAGTCATATTTCAATCTTTTGATAATTTCGGTTATAATGCAGTCATATCTCTTGTGATATATGTGTGTGTGTGTGAAAGAGAGAGAAATTCAAATTTCAAAGTCCGTTTTCGTTTTTTTTTTTTTCTGAACTTTGAAAGTACAAGACGTAATATAACAAAACCAAAACCTAGGAAACACGCTGAACAAGTCGTGCTAACACTTACAACACACACTTAAAGTGTTTCTTGACTGAACTCCACTTTACGACACAAGATAAACCCGAGTCTAAATCAAATTGCTTTTCACGTCACGTGAATAAACTGTTTAATTTCTCAGGAGAAAAGCGCTGTCTAACTACGCGTGGAAGAAATTCACAAACACACATAGAACAAAAACAAATGGCTGGAAGTAATTTCTAAAAGTGATAATTGTATTGAGAAAAAGTCGTGTTGCAAAAACTCAAAAATAACTACTCGCACTTAATGAAATAGTCCTCGTCATGAAGATGTGACAGCGCTACTACGGTGTAAATCGATCGCTATGCACGGTAGACTGGATTTTACTCTAAAGAATACATAACGAAATTAAAACTGGTTTACAGTTTCCGAAATTCCTTCTTAATCAAAATAAGAACGTTATTTATTCATAGTAAATGTATAGCACCTGGAAGAAGGATAAAAAAGCGACATCTCCTTATACTGGTTGATTAAATAATTCCAAGCCAAAGAAAACTAGCATAGCATACAAACAGGTGGAAAGAATTCAACCAATACATTCTAGAAGAGAAGTACCTGAAGAAGTAGCGGGGGGGAGGGGGTTACAAGTTAGAGAGAAAGTTGAATGAGAAGCTTTGTGCTTAATTGGGTGATTTAGTACATTAACTAAACTTTGAAGAATTTTTTTTTCTTTATTTTAACAATAGCATATATATATATATATCTAAGCATTGTAGTTTGAAACCCACTTTTTTAGAAAATAAACCCTGGATACGGCTTAAATGGGTAGTCAAAAAACTTTATTACGAATGCGCAACGTTTAAACAAGCTTATGTCATCATCACCTCTGATTACGTGTCCAAATGAAAAATTTAAAGGTAGCTACGAATGAAAGTTGTGACCACGTGTCCAACTGAGAAACTTCTCGTCGGGAAAAAAAACTTCCTTTGACGAGTTTGTTTCTGTCTAAGAAAGAATTCTGAAATTTCTTGACTTTGCACCATTAAAAGTTACTCGGTTTAAAGCATTTATCAGAACTCTGAAACACACCTGATAAAACTGTTAGACATTACGTAATGATCTTTGTTTTCAGTCTTAGTCTTTACATTTGCAAAATAACGCAGGAAATCATATAATAGGCATGTTGACTGTGTGAGAACAAAATTCATTTTTTAGAAAAATTAGTGCTAGATTTGAACTGATTTTATTTCTTAGCTCTAACGCTTTAGTTAACAAGATTATATAAATCAATTACTGGTGTTTCACACGCTTAGAAATCTGATCACATACAACTGATTCTCAGTTCCCACGACGTTACCCCTTAGAAACCTGATCACATACAACTGAGTCTCAGTTCCCACGACGTTACCCCTTAGAAAACCTGATCACATACAACTGAGCCTCAGTTCCCACGACGTTACCCCTTAGAAACCTGATCACATACAACTGAGTCTCAGTCCCGCACGACGTTGCGTAAAAATTCATATGGTATTCAACGTAACTGATGGTTCCGGGGGGGGGGGGGTGATTTATTTTAAAAGCACAACATTGAAGTACATGATATAAACTGGGATTTATAGAAATATATCGATTAATATAACTACGTTGCTTTGCTCTAGGGGTAGAGCACACAATCTAGATGACGTATTTGGTTAATTCTTTCAAGAATTCAAAGAGCCTTGTTGGAGGAAATGAGAGCAGAATTCGTTTTACCAAGCAGAATATAATATATATAATAAGTAACCATATATTTACCACCACGTAAGTTATCACAACCCACAGGTCTTCTATCACTCATGGCTCACACCCACAGGTCTTCTATCACTCAGGGCTCAAACCCACAGGTCTTCTATCACTCATGGCTCACAACCCACAAGTCTTCTATCACTCATGACTCACAACCCACAAGTCTTCTATCACTCATGGCTCCCAACCCACAAGTCTTCTATCACTCATGGCTCCCAACCCACAAGTCTTCTATCACTCATGGCTCCCAACCCACAAGTCTTCTATCACTCAGGGCTCAAACCCACAGGTCTTCTATTACTCATGGCTCACAACCCACAGGTCTTATATCACTCAGGGCTCAAACCCACAAGTCTTCTATCACTCATGGCTCACAACCCACAAGTCTTCTATCACTCAGGGCTCAAACCCACAGGTCTTCTATCACTCATGACTCACAACCCACAGGTCTTCTATCACTCATGGCTCACAACCCACAAGTCTTATACCACTCATGGCTCACAACCCACAGGTCTTCTATCACTCATGGCTCACAACCCACAGGTCTTCTATCACTCATGGCTCACAACCCACAAGTCTTCTATCACTCAGGGCTCAAACCCACAGGTCTTCTATCACTCAGGACTCACAACCCACAGGGCTAATACCACTCAAGGGCTCACAATCCATAGGTTATCCACCACTCAGGGATGCTAAAAAAACCGTGTTTACTAACACAAGATTCTGAAGCCACGGGTCTACGTGTAGTAAAGTAAATAGGCTCGATACTCATACTCAAAGACACCAAAGTAATATCTCAGTGTAAAAGTATGCCAGTTTATAATAGAAGAGATAAATAAATCGTTGTTTTTGTTAAGCGATAAAAATTTGAGAAAGAAATTCAAATCAGCTCAGTCAGGTGTGCTTCTTCTATTTATAACCTAATATGTACTGGTTGTCCCTAAAATGTGAACGCAGATACTAAGAAGTAACTTTGCATAATGTAAAAACTTCTACACACTATTGAAGCTCCGGTATACTCACAATAGGTGTCCTTAACAAGTCTTGTAACAAAGTCACTTCCAAGCTTACTCTGTGTCTTCCCCATGGACTTCTGAAAATATTAAAACTAATGCACAAAATCGACGTTTCTGTTTTCTATAGTTTCACCTGCGACAAAGCATCATCAAATCAAGATGGGATCAGGTCCTGGAAACGTCAGTATGTAGGTCTACACGAGCATAAGTATCATCCCACCTGCACAACGATGAACCCTAGCAGACCACATTTTGTACAGCGACACCTGCAGGAGAAAATTAGCAACCTCAGCATAACCAACGTTATCGGTAGCAGCATGTGCTGAATATAAGTGAATCGATTTTGCGTGTGGCAGGAAAGCAACAGATATTCATATATTAATTTAAAATGATCCAACATATTTAAAACAATACCTTATAATAGATAAGCTTGGGCAAACTTGAATAAAGTGATAAAATCAAACAAACATTCCGAACTGTTTACTCTGACGTTATAGTTCGTTGTGGATGAAGATAAGGTGTGGAGTAACGCTTAATTCATTATATGTTCTTGTTTATTATTATTTTATTACTTAAAAAAGTAATTAGCAAAAATGTTTGGCTAGAATAATGTGTTCTCTGTTAATATTTGGTTATAATAATGTTCTATGTTAATGTTTGGTTAGAATAATGTGTTCTATGTTTATGTTTGGTTAGAATAATGTGTTCTCTGTTAATATTTGGTTATAATAATGTTCTCTGTTAATGTTTGGTTATAATAATATGTTCTATGTTTATGTTTGGTTAGAATAATGTGTTCTCTGTTAATATTTGGTTATAATAATGTTCTATGTTAATGTTTGGTTAGAATAATATGTTCTATGTTTATGTTTGGTTAGAATAATGTTCTCTATTTCCTCTGATTATGCTTGATTAGAATAATATGTTCTCTCTTTATGTTTGGTTATAATAATATGTTCTCTGTTTATGTTTGGTTATAATAATATGTTCTCTGTTTATGTTTTGTTAGAACAATGTGTTCTCTGTTTATGTTTGGTTAGAATAATGTGTTCTCTGTTTATGTTTGGTTGGAATAATGTGTTCTCTGTTTATGTTTGGTTAGAATAATGCGACATTATTAAGCAACATTCTGATGACATAAATGTTACCCCCAGTGGCACAACTGTAAGACTACGGACTTATAACACCAGAAACCGGGTTTCACTATTAAGCAACATTCTGATGATATAAATGTTACCCCCAGTGGCACAACTGTAAGACTACGGGCTTATAACACCAGAAACCGGGTTTCACTATTAAGCAACATTCTGATGATATAACTGTTACCCCCAATGGCACAGCGGTAAGGCTGCGGACTTATAACACTAGAAACTGGGTTTTACTATCCGTAGCGGGTACGGCACAGATAGCCTATTGTATTGCTTTGTGCTTAAGTACAAACAAAGATACAGCTGTTATATTACATTCTGATAATACAGCTATTAAGAAGTATTCTAATGACACAACTCTCAAACTTCATATAAACAGAAAAGAAACGAAACGCGTATAAAGTTAGTTTTCCATGGAATTCTCTCGATATTTTAAACCTCATTTCCATGCGTGAAATTCCATAAAAATATTTTAGTTACACTACGCCATCTAGTGATTTAAAGGTAAAACATTAATCATTTTGTGATGATTTGTTGTGGCTGACTTCTCTGAGTTTATTTAGCTGATAATATTAAGCTTTGCATTGAAAGAAACCCCGATTTTGTCCTATTGTAAGTCATTAAAAACTTATTACAACTCTAGTTGGTGTGTTTTTGTTTGATGTTACGAAATATCTGTCATAGCCCCATCAATGGCGCAGCCTCCTAATCCTTCCCATTTCTTCTTCTATGAACAAATATTTTCGATCACTTTTTTCTATGTTAGATTGCTCTAGAAGTTGGGAAAATATTCAGATTCAGAACATCGTTAAGTTGTTTGAAAGCTACACAAGGGAAGTCCCCCCCCCCTCTCAAGGATGTTCAGGGGTAAGAAGCCCTCTTCATCCACCAAGGAAATTATACAAGAAAAACTAGAGTTTGGGGAAAATAGGAATAGTGTGAGCTGAAGAGAAGATGAACAACGAGTAGTCTTCCAATGGGATCGAAATAAATCTCTTGGTAGGAGCCCTTTTCAAGGCTTACAGGGATTTTTGTTGAACTTCCAATAGGATCAAACTAAATCTCTTGGTAGGAGCTCTTTTCAAGGCTTACAGGGATTTTTGTTGAACTTCCAATAGGATCGAACTAAATCTCTTGGTAGGAGCCCTTTTCAAGGCTTAAAGGGATTTGTGTTGAACTTCCAATAGGATCGAACTAAATTTCTTGGTAGGAACTCTTTTCAAGGCTTAAAGGGATTTTGTTGAACTTCCAATAGGATCGAACTAAATTTCTTGGTAGGAACTCTTTTCAAGGCTTAAAGGGATTTTGTTGAACTTCCAATAGGATCGAACTAAATCTCTTGGCAGGAGCTCTCTTCAGGTCTTACAGGTTTTTTTTTGTTGAACTTCCAATGGGATCGAACTAAATCTCTTGGCAGGAGCCCTTTTCAAGGTTTACGGGTTTTTTGTTTAAAATTTAATTTGTTATGTGATTGCTACTAGATGGGAATGTTTATTAATGTTGTTTTTTTTACTGTATTTTGATACTTGATTGTAACTCATTTTCCAGGAAGTTTTAGAATGTTCGCAACTTCAACTTTATCTGACAGTTTAACCTTGTGATGTCATAGCTCTGGTAGTAGGAATCTAAGCGTCAGCATTGTTAAGGAAAACTGCTTTAGTAACCACTTAAAACAATGTTAACAATGTATGTTTATATTCAAAGTTGTAGAGATCCATTTGAATCCAGACGACTGCACTCAATACACGAGTAAGTGTTTTTTAAATAATATTTATATATATGGTAAATTGTTATTTTATTTTCAACAAATTTTAGACTATAAAGCACGGAAACTATCCACCAATGGCAAGATCAGTGCGGTCCTGTAATCCAATTGCCTCTTCTCCCCACCCCTTCACTTTTACATCAGAAAATATATGACCATTATCTTCTCCTGATTTTTAAATTCTAATTTCATTTCACAGGTGATGCTTGCGACTAAAGGTTGTATATCTGGTTGAGTTAATTCCCCTACTGTGGGAATACTACTTGCTTAGATTTACGTATATATTCAAGTTGGAGATGCTATTTTCTTAAACAAACTTTGTTTTTATGTTGAAACTAACATACATTTTTAAAAGTCTTTGATGACAAACATCAAATATGTTTTATTGATTTTGTAATGTTGAAATTAACAAACATTTTTAAAAGTCTTTGATGACAAACATCAAACATGTTTTATTGATTTTGTAATGTTGAAATTAACATACATTTTTGAAACTCTTTGATGACAAACATCAAACATGTTTTATTGATTTTGTAAATGAGAAAATAAAATCATGGAAAATATCCTCACTTGTCGACCCAAATTAATAAGATTGAAAAACAAATTAGACGCAAAGACTCTGAGAAAACTGATTGATACATAGTTCTCTATATCTCTACTAGATGCCGCCATTATATGTAAAGATATATATATAGATGTTACTGAATTCATATGAATACATTACACTTCGGAGTATAAAGAAACATCCCCATATTAAAAGATACGTTCAAGCGAATTACTCACATGGTCTTTTAAACGAGAAAAGAATAAAACAGAGGGTATAAACTTCTATATTTCAATAAATTTAAAGGTGTTTTGTCAGTAAAAATTCTTAGTTCTCAAGCAATGCAATTAGAATCATTAGTGGACTTGGTGTTTCTTTGTGCGATATTTTTCTTTCATCTTTCCTAAAACCTTTGTTCTCTTACCACTTTTAAAAAGTGTACATATTTGTGAAAATAAATAAAGATAAGATGTTACGTAGCGTCCTATGCACAAGGCCACCGCTAACTTTGGAGAAATTTGAGTAAACTAAGTACAAATTCACAAGAAACTAAAATATGAGTTCTTTTTTGTATGTTTTATTCAAACAATTATGTTTAAAAAATGGTTAGATCAGTTCTGTATTTCTTGTTTATAGAATGGTTAGATCAGTTCTGTATTTCTTGTTTAAATAATGGTTAGATCGGTTCTGTGTTTCTTGTTTATAGAATGGTTAGATCAGTTCTGTATTTCTTGTTTATAGAATGGTTAGATCAGTTCTGTATTTCTTGTTTAAAGAATGGAACAAATAGGTTCTGTTTCTTCTAATTAAAAGCCCAGTAATAGAGCTGCTTTGTAAGTTCCAAAATCAAGCAAAAATATTATTTATTTTCTGTGAGACAAATGAAGGATAGCGGAAAGACCGAAACAGTTCCAGCATTATGTTATAAAACTTGTTTGTTTATTACCAAGTACAAAAGCTACACGATGGGCTATCTGTGCTTAGCCCACCGCGGGTAGGAAAAACCGGTTTTATTCGCCCTTAGACCAATCTCTGAGCTATTAGTAGGCAAGATGTTTTCCCAAGCTGATAAAATGTCCCGAGTTTTTTATGATGGAGGATGGGATGTCTACATTTATAGATGTTCTGTCTTTTTGGATTTGTTTAATTTCATAGATATTTGGATAAAATTACTTTGTTCTTGTTTAAATTAAGATTTATGTGAACGAGGTTAGTGTGTTCTTATGTGTTCAAATAAGAACCGCTATTAACAAGGTTAATATTAACCTTCAGTGCTAGGTTGCAGCTTTCTTTGGTGTTAAAATGAATAATTCTGCGAGCGAGATTAGTGCGTTCTTTGGTTTTTAAATAAATAACCCTGTAAACGAGGCTAATGTTTCTTCTACGTTTCAACAGATACCTCTGTGAACGAGATTAGTATAGTACTATGGATGGAGCTATTGCAAATAACGGACTCGGTTATTATTGAAAGATTAACTAGAGTGAGGTAGAAGTAGGATAATGATAAGTATACGTTTAGACATTAAAAAAAATATTGAAAATTGATAATTCGCTACATACAAAAGCTTTAACTAAGTGGATTCGGATTTATAAGACTATTTTCAATAATAAACTCTTTCGAGTCCTCTACTTGTGTCGCCGTGTTGTCTTTCTACGCGGTGGGTAGTCACCTGTAGCAATGTCTTTCTCACGTCGATCGATATTTGATTCCTTTGACGTTTTTATGCATTCTCTGAGGTTTTCTTGAACCATTGACGGTAGATGTCGCGTTTCAATCTGTTGGTTTTGTTCAACAAAATTAGCGCTTGTGTGTGTGTGTCATTGGAAGGGAGAGACTGCTCATAAACAATTTATAGAAATAAGACCTTATTCTCGAGGGGTGGAGTTTCTTCCCACTGCGGTAGAAACTCTAGCAAGGACAAGAAGGGTGTTTACTCTCTTCAGACGACTAGGGCGAATCGACCGCTAGTGAACTTTTCTATAGAAGTGAGTCAAAGCTACAGTCGTAGAAGTATGAGAGCGAACAGGTAAAACGTCGAACGCGTATTGAAACAAACCAAGAGACTTAGGATGGGGAAGAAACAGAGTACGCTTAAAAGTGACGTAGTCGCCAAGCTTGTGAAAGAAACGTATTGTAAGTTGATCACAATAACATTCTTTCATATTTTTGTTAATATTTTAATTACTGTTAGCGTTTGATCAGATCAAGCTACCTACTTACATTAAAATTAAAATCATCCCGTTAATAATTAAATATACATTCTTACTTATAAAGAATAGATCGCATAGTTTTATCAGCTGGTACTTTTATCTATTAACGATATTTTCGGCCTTAAACCCAATAATATCTCACGAGGTTCTGTCAGCTTATGAGATTTAGGTTAGTCCTAAATCTATAAATTAATTTAACAATGCAAAACGATTTTAACAATAAAAGTACAATATCAATAAGTTAAAAATAACAAAATTAGATATATTGAACATTGTAACCAATATTGTTAATGAAGATATCAGTGAAGAAACAATAAGGGTAAACCTTACTTAAATGATACTATTTATATTGTATACACAACCACGTTTTATCTGAGTGTTATATTTATATACAGTATCCATTAGATACTCTACCTATCTGTGTTATATCTATATATACAGTATTCATTACATACTCTACCTATCTGTGTTATATCTATATACAGTATCCATTAGATACTCTACCTATCTGTGTTATATCTATATACAGTATCCATTAGATATTCTACCTATCTGTGTTATATCTATATACAGTATACATTACATACTCTACCTATCTGTATGAAAACTACTGAAAGATACAACAGTGATTGTTATGACAACTACTGAAAGATACAACAGTGGTTGATATGAAAACTACTGAAAGATACAACAGTGATTGTTATGACACTTACTGAAAGATACAACAGTGGTTGGTATGAAAACTACTGAAAGATACAACAGTGATTGTTATGACAACTACTGAAAGATACAACAGTGATTGTTATGACACCTACTGAAAGATACAACAGTGGTTGCTATGACAACTATTGAAAGATACAACAGTGGTTGGTATGAAAACTACTGAAAGATACAACAGTGATTGTTATGACAACTACTGAAAGATACAACAGTGGTTGATATGAAAACTACTGAAAGATACAACAGTGATTGTTATGACACCTACTGAAAGATACAACAGTGGCTGGTATGAAAACTACTGAAAGATACAACAGTGATTGTTATGACAACTACTGAAAGATACAACAGTGGTTGATATGAAAACTACTGAAAGATACAACAGTGATTGTTATGACACCTACTGAAAGATACAACAGTGGTTGGTATGAAAACTACTGAAAGATACAACAGTGATTGTTATGACAACTACTGAAAGATACAACAGTGATTGATATGAAAACTACTGAAAGATACAACAGTGATTGTTATGACACCTACTGAAAGATACAACAGTGGTTGTTATGACAACTATTAAAAGATACAACAGTGGTTGGTATGAAAACTACTGAAAGATACAACAGTGGTTGCTATGACACCTACTGAAAGATACAACAGTGATTGTTATGACAACTATTGAAAGATACAACAGTGGTTGGTATGAAAACTACTGAAAGATACAACAGTGATTGTTATGACAACTATTGAAAGATACAACAGTGGTTGTTATGAAAACTACTGAAAGATACAACAGTGATTGTTATGACAACTACTGAAAGATACAACAGTGGTTGATATGAAAACTACTGAAAGATACAACAGTGGTTGTTATGACAACTACTGAAAGATACAACAGTGGCTGTTATGAAGACTTCTCGAAGATACGATAGGGATTTTCACGATAAAGGTTGAACGATACAACAGTGGTTGCTATGACAAGTTCTGAAAGATATTTCAGTGATTTTTATGATGACTACTCAAAGATGCCACAGTCGTTGCTATGACAATTCTGGACGATCATTTTTGTATACTAACGATAAACTTATAAATATTAAACGTACTCGTCATATGTCTATATTTCATATTATTAACTTTACAATTGTATATTAATTATACGCAACAATATTATATTGCTAGAAGCTGTACGAACATACAGTGTTACTAAAACCGTGTCCTCACTTTTATATTTCTTTTTCGTTGTTTATACATGGAACAACTAAAGGATGAGAATGTGTGGAGAAGTGATAATTAAGATACGTTGATGTTATTTCAACTGGACAAACATAACACAGCTAATTTACATAAGTGAATGATAACTCGGCGTTTCTAATCTACATTGTAAAGTGGCTCAACTCTCGCATACTGTCAATTGAAAATTCTAATTACTTTACAATCCAAATATCTTCTCATCCTAAAACAACAGATATATACAAAAACAGATTAGTAGACAGACAGATACAAAGTAAATCGATGGATAGATAGATAAAAAATAGATCGATAGACAGACAGATAAGAAATAGATCAATAGACGGACAGATATCAATTAGATACACAGACAGTGAAGCAGATAACAAAATAGACAGAAGGATGAAAAGCGATAGATAGGTAAAAATGCATAAAGAGATAGATAGATGGTACTACATTTTGACAAGAAATAAAAGTCGTGATACCTCGTTGCTGAACGAACTGTTAGTGCTGATTGAAGGTTGAGGTAATACTTCCAGTAACATCATTGAGTGGATCAAAAACTAATTGGATATTTTCTCGAGTTAATTCACCATGTTTTGACGCATAATAAAAATAAGACAGCACTAAGTCATCAAAGTTCGTAGTCTTGAAAACCTTGGGGACTTGAAGGAGATGGATAGTACATATAATAAATTGATAATGTTTATAACTAGCTGAGATGAAAAACTCCCCTCATTACTCCTGAGCGGTTCTATGTGTGTGATGTTTGAAAAAATAATAGACATTATTAATGCAACCTTAATTATAGTTTCTTTGCTACTAATTCAGTCTTAAATTGCCTTATATCTGTTATTAATACAACCATAATTGTATTATATTTACTATTAATAATTCAACCTTCAATTAATCCAACATTAATTGTTTTATCTTTACTAGTAACACGTTATTTATTCAACTGTTGTTATTGTGTTATTTTACACAGTAGATTATTGTCTAGTCAGTTGATTAGTGTCTGTTATCCACTTACACCCACCTTATAATCACTGTTATACCCAGGTTATATGTACATTATACACACTGTTATACCATATTATACCCTATGTTATATCCACGTTATACCTACTGTTACACCCACCTTATAATCACTGTTATACCCAGGTTATATGTACATTATACACACTGTTATACCATATTATACCCTATGTTATATCCACATTATACCTACTGTTATATCCACGTTATACCTACTGTTATACCCACCTTATAATCACTGCTATACCCAAGTTATATGTACATTATACACACTGTTATACCATATTATACCCTATGTTATATCCACGTTATACCTACTGTTACACCCACCTTATAATCACCGTTATACCCAGGTTATATGTACATTATACACACTGTTATACCATATTATACCCTATGTTATATCCACGTTATACCTACTGTTACACCCACCTTATAATCACCGTTATACCCAGGTTATATGTACATTATACACACTGTTATACCATATTATACCCTATGCTTATATCCACGTTATACCTACTGTTATACCCACCTTATACCCACCGTTATACCCAGGTTATATGTACATTATACACACTGTTATACCATATTATACCCTATGTTATATCCACGTTATACCTACTGTTATACCCACCTTATAATCACCGTTATACCCAGGTTATATGTACATTATACACACTGTTATACCATATTAACCTTATGTTATATCCACATTATACCTACTGTTATATCCACGTTATACCTTCTGTTATACACATCTTATAATCACTGTTATACCCAGGTTATATGTACATTATACACACTGTTATACCATATTATACCCTATGTTATATCCACATTATACCTACTGTTATACCATATTATACCCTATGTTATATCCACGTTATACCTACTGTTACACCCACCTTATAATCACCGTTATACCCAGGTTATATGTACATTATACACACTGTTATACCATATTATACTCTATGTTATATCCACGTTATACCTACTGTTACACCCACCTTATAATCACCGTTATACCCAGGTTATATGTGCATTATACACACTGTTATACCATATTATACCTTATGTTATATCCACGTTATACCTACTGTTATACCCACCTTATACCTAATCACCGTTATACCCAGGTTATATGTACATTATACACACTGTTATACCATATTATACCCTATGCTATATCTACGTTATACCTACTGTTATAGATATATATATCTTTTTAAATAGTTTCTATCACGAACTGTGTGCCTAGTGGATATTGTAACAAAAGCAACGATCTGTTTTCAGCAAAGTTACACCTTATTCAGTTTTTATATTTTATCGGCTCCTTTAAATGAAAATACAGAGATGTACAACTTTCTCATTAGCGGCACGCGCAAGGCTCTTGATCACGAACTGTCTCACCCCAACTATAAAGGGTGTACTTCATCATAACGTGTTTGTTTGAAATAAGACTTTCTTTGATGAATGGATTAAAGGGGAAAAAAAGTGTGTTTGTCAAAAAGTTCACTAAAACCAGGAGACTATGGTTTGTTATGGCATGATTTAAGAAGTACTCTCAATCTGGGAAACAAGCTTTACAGGTCACGAGGGATTTGGTTCTGGAGAGTATATAGCAAAGCTGTCTTGTCGCGTATTCAGTAGATGATACCGATCACAATGATGTTGTGATTACTTCTTGATAACGATAAAGCTTACTTCCACTATCATGTCATCGAGAATACATTACTTTATTTTTTTCTAAATCTTCAATAAAACTGAACCGTTTCCTAATAAAACCTCTGTTTGTCGTCTGCGCTAGACTTTAATATTCAATTGAAATTTACTACACAGAAAAACAAAGAAATTAACGTCATACTTGTGTTTAGCTCTTATCTTTACCTCTATATAATAAATATGAGATTCTAATCAATAGTGTATAAAGGTAATTAACAAACAGTATGATAAACGATGTTTACTGTTTAATGAAATCACTATGATAAACGATGTTTACTGTTTAATGAAATCACTATGATAAACGATGTTTACTGTTTAATGAAATCACTATGATAAACGATGTTTACTGTTTAATGAAATCACTATGATAAACGATGTTTACTGTTTAATGAAATCGGTATGATAAACGATGTTTACTGTTTAATGAAATCAGTTACTGTTTAATGAAATCACTACAGTAAACAGTAAATGTTGTTTATCATAGTTTTCTGTCCAATAAAGATTTTAATCTAAGGCGTTTTGTTTTTCTTTCTCTTTTTTAAAGCTGTTCATTTTGTTATTTTCAGTTTCAGAGAAAGAAATTCGACAATGGTGAGTATAAGTAAAACTACTATAATGTCATTATTACCAGCCTGTTAAGTACAATACCAGTAAAACTACTATAACGTTATTATTACCAGCCTGTTAAGTACGATACCAGTAAAACTACTATAACGTTATTATTACCAGCCTGTTAAGTACGATACCAGTAAAACTACTATAATGTTATTATTACCAGCC